TCCAAATGAGACGGACTCAGAGGAAGAAGCAGGAGCTCGGAAAGCCAACAGCAGCTGAGACCGACGCGTCTAAACGTTCCTGGATCACATTAAACTGCTTTTTATGGCTGACAGCATCAGGAAGAACAATGAAGGGAGCGTGAAGGGAAAAATAGTTGGTTAAAAACGGAAGATGAGGAGAGCCTTGATGAAAACAGGAAACGGTGAAATGAGTGGAGAGAATTATAACGGGATAAAAAGTGATGAAGTGGGAGGATTCGGAGGTTTGGGTTTTATTACTGCCTTCTGGGCCTAAACCAGGTTCTGCTAAACCAGGTGCTGCTTAAAAGTCTAACAGAAACTCCAGAAGCACCGATCCAATCCGATACGATGCCCGGGCTGAGCGTATTGGCCGATATCCGACACAGATCCGATATTACTGGTAGCTAAACTTTTATACAACATTGTTAAAAAAAGTAACAAATGAGACAGATAGAAATCCTCACTAGCCGCTGTGCTGCTCTGCGTGATGACGTCACCTTAAAATGACTGTATTGCTGTCTATATCAATAAAAAATAGAAATGAAGTCTTCAATATATTTTTGTGATGCAGTGTAGCATTGTTTAATGTTTTAGATACATAATGCGCAGGGCGGATCGTGCCTCATCAGCCTCAGCCCTAGTACTTTTCCAAGAGCAAGAACAGCAGGCCGAGAACAGACAAAGTCCCCGGATGTTTTTCTTGCCCCTCCCTCTTTACCCAGCATGCATCAGAGCAGACCTGTACGTTCTCCAGACTGACAGCTCTTCCAGCATGCACTGCAGCAGCAGCAGCTTCCAGCTTAGCGCTCACAGAGCTCAGAGTATTAAGTAAAAAGTTCTCTTTTCTGTTGCCGTTGTTCAATAAATGTACGTTCTAAGATCATTTAAGGTGAGAACATTATACTTTAAAGCGTCACTATATGGCCCATTTACTGATTTAATGCGTAATTTAAAAAAAGTTCCAATATTGAGCCCACAGCCAGTTCTGACATTAGCCCGTCTGCAGCGGCCGGAGCTGACGTTAGCCCGTCTGCAGCGGCCGGAGCTGACGTTAGCCCGTCTGCAGCGGCCGGAGCTGACGTTAGCCCGTCTGCAGCGGCCGGAGCTGACGTTAGCCCGTCTGCAGCGGCCGGAGCTGACGTTAGCCCGTCTGCAGCGGCCGGAGCTGACGTTAGCCCGTCTGCAGCAGCCAGTGCTAGCGTTAGCCCGTCTGCAGCAGCCCTCTCTCTGCATAGCCGTGTGTGAAGGACCGCTGACTCTGATGGCGAGTTTTTTTTATTTATTTTTTAATTGGCAAAATGTTCATTTGATTTGTGTTTATCTGACTGTGTTCATTATTATTCCTCCACTGAATGAAAAAAGTAATACTTTATTATTATATAGAGACTATTAAAAACAGGAGGTGATATGCAGCTCCAGGCGAGCTGAGCGTGTGGTGATGTCATCAGTACGCTTCTGTTCTAATTGACCAATATTTATGCTGCTTGCTCCCGTTCTCCAGTCCAGACTTTCCGGGTTCTTCTCTAGAAAATAGAATAGAATTGAGAAATGGCCAATATCTACTGTCTCTACCAGGAGGAGAGAACCCTGTATGGTCAATGACTGGATGCAATCAGCTGGTTTCCCTTAGACAGAAAACTTTGAACCTTTAATCTGACTGGATAAAATTATCTGATTTAACTAGAAAAAATGATGTGCTGTGAACTGTTATTATAAAAATCAAATGAATTAAAACTAATCTTTATGGAGATTTTAACTTTGTTATTAAAGGTAACAAAATCCTGGCCAAATCTGTCCCTGTTCTGCTGTAATGGAAACCAGTACGGTATGGCATGGGTTACTTTGGACAGGAACGGTACACAGCACACTAACCTAGACAATGTCAGCAAAGATGCATGGGGCCATTAGCACCAAATGCTAATCTCCACCTGTCGACTCTGGGCAGGCTGATGTTTGGAAGAAAGATCTACGTCTATAGAATCTATGTCTGCGAATTGGACAAACAGTTGATCATTTATAATGAAAACAGGTTATATGTGTGACATTAATCAAAGATACATTTATAAAAAAAACTCACCCGCCCACTCAGTCACTCCATCATCCCACAGATTCCTCCCCATCGCTCACTTCCAACATTTATTCTAATCTATGTATTTTTTGTTTTTACCAGCAGCTGTTTCTATGTGAGACTGTGGAGGTCAAACGGTTCCAGTGACTAACAGCCAACCAAGAGAACGCCGAGGAGGAGGAGTGCGGCTCTACGTTTGGGAAACCTGCACTAATCTATTGAATCTATGTGGTTTTTCTAAAGTCATCATGAACAGACCTCTCAGAGGAGGAGCAGCACCATTTATAACTTACTTTAGTGATGAAAAATTTACATTAATGATTACATTAGATAAATTTAGAAGTCGCCGTCACCATCCCACCTCCCAGCGAACAAGACAACCTCTTCTGAGCATTTCTGCTTAAAGCTGAGAGCAAACAGCTCATTTAGCCACTAACCTCCACAGCAGAACAACTGTTATTTTAGATCACGTCTAAGTTGCAAAAATGTGTTTTTTCTTCTAGTTTGTTCACTATTCTTAAAGAAAAGCTTATTCACCAGAAGTAGCATGATACTATGCTGCTGAGTGACATCGCTGATGGGGGGGGCACCCTACACTGGCGGAGCGATGCAAACGCCATTAAATACATTATTTCACAGAAAATTAAAACGTTTTGGCAAACTCAAAAACATCACTGATAGAAAAACACAAACAACAGGTGCAAAGAAATACTGCAGAAGGTGCTGCTATAGAGAGCAGCAGCGTGGAAACAAGCAGAAAACATAAATAATGCAAAGACAGAACCACACAAAACACATGCAAAGGGAACATGATCCACATAAAGTAAGTTCTCCAGCCCACTAGGGGGAGACGATCACCATCTCCAGACCATCAGTAGAGACATAGGCTGTGGCCGAACATCCGCACTAACCACTATATTTCACACTATATAGAGTAGGGCTGCAACTAACGATTATTTTTAAAATCGATGAATCGGACGATTATTTTTTCGATTAATCGGACAAAAATTTTTTTTTATATTAACCTCTTTATTCCAAAATAAACATTTTAGACAGAACAAACAAGCACACAAGTACAGGTTGCTCATTAACTGTACTGGTGCAATATGAAAAATAAATGTTTGTGTTAAAACTGCGCAAACTTACATGAGAAATGTCATTGCAGCTTGGTGGCGGTGGCGTTAGCATAGTAGCATGGACGACGAGATGATTGAAAATGAACACAACGGAGATCTAGTCCTATTGGCAGACATCCATTTAAAATGTAGGCAACGGCATGAAAAAAGTGGTTTCTACTTTTACTTTTATACTTTAAATAAATTTACAAGCCTGTACTTTGTTACTTTTACTTGAGTAAAGAAGTTTAATCAGTACTTCCACTTTTACCAGAGTATTTTTTAACACAAGTATCTGTACTTTTACTCAAGTACGGAAAGTGAGTACTTTTGCCATCTCTGGGTATCGGTTATCGGCTACATGAGTTTTAAAATATCGGCATATCGGATATCGGCCAAAATCCCAATATCGTGCATCCCTAGTTTAAAGCCTTGCAGGGCAGCCTAAAGCCCACTGCCAACATTAAGACAGAAAAAAGAAAGAAAATAACAAACGATCAGTTCAGGGGTTTGAGAAAATATGGGAATCAGGAAATTGTCTATAAACCAAACTGAACGATTGATGTCTTCTACTTAAAAAAACAAAAAAACGCTTTAGATTTTAAAATGGAAAAAAAAATCTTTATTTTTTTTTTATTTAAACATTCAATGTTTAACATGGATGCATAAAACCTGCATTTTATTTCAATGTTAAATTTTGTTTAAGGTAACAGATTATTAAAAATGTCTACAGACCTTGTTGTCCTCCTCCATCATATCTTCCGTCTTAATGCTGCGTTCAGAGCGCGCGCAGCAGGAGCAGCAGAAACGCGCGTGTTGCTTCATTTTTTGATGCTTGTACCAGTTTAGTTCTTATGCGCGGCTGAAGCATCTCTGCTGCTCTAGCTGCGCAGTGGGAAAAAGTGGGTCTGATGCGCGGTGGGCGGAGCTACCCTATCCTTTCTCTGCCTGGAACAATGGCAGCTATATTAGCTGTGATCAGCGGGTAAAAAGTAGTTGAGAAAGAAGTGAGAAAGTCCTCCTGAAAACATGGTCTGTGCAGTCAGTTCATCCAGATTACCATCCTGCCTTCAAAGATTATTTCTCTGTGGGAGCCGCTCAGACCCCCACATACCGGCGCTGCGCTGTCACTGGGAATCCCCAGCAGCAGCTGCCTCAGGCCCGCTCGCCTCTCCAGGGTTTTCCCCTCCTGTTGGTGGCGGCTGGAAGTAGATGTTAGCGTTTTTCAGGTCTGTGCTACAAACTGCAGGCAGCAGGATAATAAAAGCCAACAAATTCTGCCGGCAGGTTTCTACATTTGAAGTTAATTTAGGCGTTAATAAACTGTTTCAGAGGAGTGATCATAGCGCTCTGCATCAGCAGTGCTGTGTCTGACTCCCTGCCAGCTCCCAGATCAGCTGCTCTCATTGGTTGATGCGGCGCGTCCAGCAGCTAAAGTTACATTTTCCAACTCCAGCAGCTGCTGTTTCTGCAGCGCGTTGCACTGCTTCAGCTGCTCAAACGCTGCAGGACCTTTTGCTGCGCCTGCGATTAATGTTTGCATGTCCACCATTCACTTTGCATGTAAACTAGCCGCTCTTGCTGTCTGCGTTGTTAAGGTAGCATAAGAATGCTGCATTATTGGGATATCGGTGGGAATATTGTTATTTCAACACAGATTTTTATGATTGCAGCAACATATTTATCAAGAAATCAATCCCAGTGAAGCTTGGTGTGTGAAAGCTTTCAGAGGAACTTTTCCCTCCTACAGAGGACAGAGGGAAGGAGGGGGGGACAGGTGGTGTGGGTCTATTTACCTGAGTTCGAAGGATCTCTCCTTTGGTTAACTGCATGTCTCCGGTGAGTTCTTTAACAGTGATGCCCAGGGGTTCCAGACGCTTACTGAAATAATTAGTCATCTCAGCTGCTAAGGCCTTCATTGGAGCCACGTACACTATCTGCAGAGAGAGGGAGGAGGGTGGGAATAAATAGGATACAAGGCAGGGAGCGCTAAGGTGAGCACGGTAGAAAATGGAGGTAGAGGCTGGAAGGACACTGTGGTGATAAATGAGCAGAGAGAGGCAGGATCATTTGTTCCCTGGCAACCAGCTCAGATCACAGTTCATGAAGAAGTGCTGTTTACTGTTTTTCCATTTCTTCCAAAGAGTCTGTTGTGGGCTTATTTTCCCACACATATCCAAGCACATTATTTAGTTATACTAGTCAGCTGCATATTTCTTTGAATCTTAGAGAACCTGTACAGTAGCTTATCCTGTAGCAGTTACTTTGCTCTTCCTGTGCAGTCTGTCATTCTCACGCTGCTCTTACATTTTTACCTTTGTGGTCATTTTGCTGCTGGAACACCTGAAATTCCCCACAAAGGGACAATAAAGCTGATTTCTGTTCAGCTGCTTGATCGGGAAAAGTTTAATGATTGACGTGTGAAAGATGAGGAGAAGATCTATGGATAAGCATGGAAGCCAGAGGATGTTTGGATTTAAAGGTTAGAACATCAATCAATCTTCTTATTTATGCACATAGGAAGAGCTTGATGGAAACTCCAACATTCTGGATAAACTCTGCAAATATTCTGACTTATCGTTTGTCATATCAGTTGGTAGTATTTTGACCCTCATGCAGAATCACACAAAGTGAAATGTTAGGATAATTATCATTGATGATGTATGAGTTTACTAGACCCTAATATTACCTGCCTGTTGCGTTTCAGAAGTTTTCCCAAGTAGTTTATCTAATTGGACAGTTCTTCCAGATATACAGTTATAATCTTCATTCTGTACGTGGCAAAGATTTGGGAATGGAATGAGAGCGGCGTGCTTTAGCTAAGAACAAAGAATAATATTTTGATAAGGCTGAAGCCTTGGTTCTCTCCTCATCTGCAAACGTGTATGATGTGATGATATGGCAGACTGGAGATGTATAAAATGATTCTATAACAGTGGCCGCTTCCCGAGAACCGAGCCTGGTTGGTAAGCAGCTGCTTCTGTAACTCTCAGCAACTTCTCTGATCTAAGATTAGAATATCTATCCAAAAAGAGACAATCCACTGGACTCTGATTCCAAGTTTGAAGACGTTTAACTTCCCATCCAGGAAGCGTTTTCAGTTGAAAAGCTTTAAATCCAGATTTGGTCTGATTTGTATGATGAGCTCAAAGTACACAGAACTGAAAACTGATTTAAAAAACAAAACAAAAAAAAGATTTTTTAAAAACCAGAGAGGATTCAGGATTGCCAAAACTTACTTTATGCTGCAAATCCTATAAACAGATCCATACTGTAATTCTTTAAACATGCATCACTTGATTTGCTAAGACTCATTACTTTTGGCCCATCTTTGTTTCCATAGTTGATCCAGACTTTTGCAGGATGTCAGCTTGAAAAGCTGAGAGGTCAGATTAAACCAGCAACAGATGTTTGAGTGCCAATATCAGGGTCAGACCTTGAATTCGTCCTTTTTGATGACGCCACCAGGCTGCAGGTGCTGACGGATCTCATGCAGGACCGTCAGCATGGCGATGTTGGTCTTGCCGGCACCAGTGGGAGCGCAGATCAGAAGGTTTTCGTTGGTGTTGTAGGCCGTCTCAAACACTATGGACTGGATCCTGTTCAGACGCTTCATTCCCTTAAACACCAGCTGCCCCACCTGAGGAGAAGGAGTGATGACGGCGGTTATCATAAATAATTACACCTCAAACCAATATACGGCAGACATCTTTAAAAAGAAATGAATATTGCTGTTTTTTTATTTAAAGAAGGCAGTTTTGATTGAAAGGATAAAAACATCTGATTCAGTGTTTCTACTTTTTAGGTAGTGAGAAAAGCCCTGAAAAAAAAGCCAGCTGAGTGTTGGTTAGTCGGTTACCATTGGCAACCAGATCTACGCCACTACCAACATCAGTTTTTTGTTCAAATGCCCCAGAGCCAGGCAGCATTCTGTGACAAACCCATCCTCTGGAGTGGTCCATGGGGGTCCTGCTAAAATCAAATGCAGGCAGGTGCTCTATGGCAGCGCCATGTATGTGTGTGTGAGGGAGGGTGACAGCGCTGAGAGTGGAGCATCAAAAGGCACGAAAGAGAAGAAAAGTGTATATGGTGGGATCGGCTGTCACTCAGGCTGCCCTCTATCTGGCTTCACTATGGCAACAGAGAGTGGGTGATGGCCCTCAATCTCAGCCTGCCTCTGATAAGCACAGAAACAAGCACAGTGAAGGACGGCGGGTGCCAGACACTCACACAACACCGGACAAACACAGACAACATACTGCAGCAAGCTTTCTTCATGTCCTTCTGCAAAACACACTGGGGATTCTTCAAGTATGTTTCTACTGAAGGGCTGTGAAGAACATTTACTGGCAGATGCAGTTTGCATGTTTCAGCATGAATATAGAAAGAAGAAACGTCAGCCATCATAAAGCTCCTGTCACACCTCGACCATTTGGACCAGCGTATGCCTGACGTACCAAAGAAATCTGGTAAAAACGCCGGCATACGTGGGATAAGTTATGAGCACGCTGAAGTACGCTGGAACATGTCGACATACAGCGAATGCAGCGAGAAATTTTGAGCATATGTATGCCGGCGTATGCCATACGTGGGCCATCAGTTCACGCCCACCACCAACAAACTTCCTAGCAGACATGATGCTCAATCTGCTGCATCCAAAAAACTTTTTTCTTTCTTCTTTTTATTTTTTTTGGACCCAGGATCCAGGGACGTCAGGCAGATGCTGGCTAAATCGGCAAGGTGTGGCAGGGCCCGCAGCTGGTAGGTGGCATCCCCATTAACAGATACTATGCTTTTTTTAATGGAACATGGACGCCTAAGAAACAACTACACCAGTGACTCTTTGAAATGCATAAAGGCGTCATGGTTTAGGCTTCCAGCACGACTGGAAGCGGCGATGAAAAATATTCACTGAGCAGTAATACAACATTAGTCTTTCCTTTTATCAAGTTATTGATTTAAATTTACTTAACTGGAGTAAATCAGTGCCATGCATGAGTTATCAGATGGAACTGATCCAAACTTGGTGATCGTTTAGCTTTTCATGCTGTAGTGCCCCAGCCATGGTGTTAATTGTGAACATTAGTGGAAGAGGATGATTTCTCCAAGCGGCAGCGTCTCTCCAGGACACTCCCTAAAGGATGGTGTTCAGAGGACATGCGAGGCCTCCTGCTGAGCTGCCCTATAAAAGCTCTGCTCCCACACACACTGTGGAAGATCTCCACAGGCAGCCACATTGGAAGAGGACCGTTTAAATGAGGGGCCCCGAACCAGAGCCCCTCTGGCTAAACGGACCATATTCTTCAAATGCAGAGTCTGAGGCAGAGCACAGCTTAGACTATCTGCAGCTTTCTCTCTCTCTGGGTTTACAGGAGGAATTTCATCCAAAGATCCATCAGAGACACGACCAGAGCAGCTCTATGAGTCACAGACCTGGAGGGACCCCAGCCTTCTGAACTTGGCTGAACACTGCGGATGCCTCAGCTTTACAAAACAGAGAAAAACTGGGAAACGTTAGCAGGTTTGGACGCGTTTAAAAGTCCCCAGCAGAAGCTAATAGCATGCTAGCGGGATCTGATGTTAACATGTTGGAGCTTTTATTAATAAAGGCAGGGTACAGGGAGGAATTTAATACATCTTTAATGCAGTTATGACAATTTTTAATAACAAGATTGTGAGCTCCAACTGTGGTGAGAGAGAGCAGTCGAGGAGAGTTTAAATTCTGACATTTATCTAAGAATTCTGACTTTAATCTGTATTTAAAAGTCAGAAACCTGACTGAGTTTAAAAGCTGCCAAAATATGAACGTCACCATCGCCGTTCTGTAATGATTCTGACTGAGAAGATTACGGACACGCCCACTCTGTCTGTGGCCGACGTGTCTGAAAACATCCAAGAAAGTTTCCCAGTAAGTCTTCCAAGGAAAAAGGAAATAAAAAATGTCAATGGTAAATAAATATTTTGGCACTTTTATAATTGAATAATTTATTGAAGTGCCCTGATTTTAAAAATGTCTGAGTTTTTTTTAATTAGGATTATTACAGATAGCCAAGATCTTATTATTTGACGTATTAACTTCTTTCGGTTTCCTGATTTTTCAGTATCAGCCAGGAATTTTCATTTGGCTGCATCTGTAGTTGCTAGGCTTCGTGTAAATACTCCAAATGACTCCATATCCAGCGGAGTAACGACTTTATTCACTCCAGAGAAACCAGAAGGTATGACTCTAGGTTCTGACCCAGTGCTTTGATTGATCGGGTCGGTTTTACCTGATTAATCAATTCTGGCTTTATTCACTCATAACCCTGACAGAGTAAATTATTTGGTGAGGTTCTAAGCCTACGTTCACACTGCAGCCTGAAGTCACCCAAATGCGATTTTTTTGCCCACATGCGACCTGGATCTGATCTTTTCAAGGCAGTCTGAACAACACAGATCTGATTTTTTCCAATGTGACCCAGGCAGCTTGGCTCTGTGGCCCTGAATCCGATACGAATCTGATCTTTTTAATGCGACCTGTGTCTGAACGGCCAGGTCGCATTCATCCGACCTGAACGTAATTAATACTCAACAAAGGTCATTATTCTTCGTGTTGCTACGCAAAAGCAAGAAGAAAAACAACAACCATGGCAGATGATGATGCGGAGAGCAGTTTTAGAGTTTAACCATCTTGAAAAGATTTAGTTTTTAAGGTTGGGAAAGAGGGCTTGATGCGCTAGAGCGCAACCACCCATGTTTACTTTGTTACACTCAGAGTACTATTGCTTGGGACGTCATTGAGTTCTCTACTACGCATGTGGTACAGTTGCGTTGTAGGGGTGGAACGGTTCACAAAATCCACGGTTCGGTTCGTGGTTTCGTGGTCACGGTTTTCGGTTCGGTATATGTTTATTGCGCATGCCTTCTACGATCTCCAAGGAACTCAGAGGGGAGCGGACGGGAGCCACAGTGGAGGCTGCAGGCTTTGCTTTGTGCAGGAGGTCTGGAGCGCAGCGGGGCGGAGCGCAGCGCTGATGGAGTATGTGGCATTTCGGGGTTAGCATGACATGTTGGTCGTGTTGCTGTTAGCATAAACAAAACGTGTTGCACAATGCTTGCACACTGTTGCACATTTATCCACAACTTTCTTTCCGCCGTCATCGTAGGTCACTCTAAATGCAAAGCAGTCCCATACAGCAGACCTATAAAGTGCTGCTGGCGCGTCTTCCAACTCCTGTTCTTTCCCACTCGCCATACCCACACAATTCTCCACAACAACTGATTTTTTTCTGCTACACCCGGCTACGCTGCTTCGCTTCTTCTTCTTCTTGTTTACTACTGGTGGTTGGCTTTGGTCGCAGTACCGCCACCTTCTGCTCTGGAGTGTAAACGCTTCGCCTATGAGAAAAAGGAGCAGCGCATGAACCGGACGCAACACAGAACCGAGACAGTCGAACCGAACGGTTCGGACGGTTTTCATAAACCGTTCCATCCCTATTGCGTTGTATGAATGCAGTTCACACAGGAGATCACATACAAGACGCATTTATTTGGAAATGTGAACTGCAGCGCAAAAAAAATCAGATTTCACAAAAAAATCTGAATTGAGCATCAAGGCCTGCAGTGGGAATGTAGCCTAAGAGATCCACATGGACATTCTACCTATTATAAATATAACACAGAATACAATGAATAGTATTTGATGCAGGTTTGCCTCTAGTTTACACAAGATTTTTAAATCCATTTCATTTAATTTAAGGAGTGGAACAGTAATCAGACTTAGAGAAACAAGCCACAGGAGCACAGAGGGAACGCAGCCTCCACATGGGAGAAGCCATCTGACATTTGAACCAGACACCCCCTAGCTGTGAGCAAAGCAGACAGACTTTATGTTGATGAACCTTGATTATGTGACAAGTGAATTTTGATTGAACTCAAGTAGATTCTGGTCATTTTCTCCTCCTTTTTTATCAGCAGGTAGAATCTAACCCCATCTTTGTTCCTTGCCTCCCATCATGATGCTGGTTCAGGAAGAACTGCAGCTTAGGCAGCAGTATTATTTATTTAAGCATTCATTAGAAGTATGTCATCACTTTCCTCTTCCCGTCGATTCGCTCCGACACACAGAGGAAAATAATTAGAGAGTTCACGTCAGGCAAGGAAGCGCTGGCTTCTGTTGGGAAGTTGGCCCCGGAGCCCAACAGGAAGGAAGAGGTTCTTAACGCATCAAAGAGCAACTTTATTAGAGTCCACTTAAGCTGGAAGATGTTAGGTGTAGCTATGATGAACTGTCTGAGTTATGGTATGGAAAACAGTTTGTCTTTTTTACTACTGGCAGCCAACAAAGCCCAACTGTTGAGGATAAGATTAAAGGGTCAGTTTGGGTCATTTCTGCAGACCAAGCCCAAAGCAAAAAGAAAATCTAGAAATAAGTCAAAATGTCTCAACTTAAGTTTATTTACCCTTAATTTGAGCAGGTAAATAAGATGATCTTATTTTAAGAGTATTTTTCCTCTTAAAATAAGATAATATGCACTTTGGCTAACATAATGCAATCATTTTCTTATTTTAAATGTAACTTGTTTTGTTTTATTGGCAAAGTGTCTCACTTAGCTCCTCAAGTCAAAAAATAGTCACAAATTTTAAGAAAAACTACTTTTG